TTTCTTTCACGATGTATACCTTGATATATACAAATCAAATAAAGAAATGATGTTTACCTACAAAAAAAAAAAAAAAATAAAAATAACTATTTTAATTAAAAAATTTAAAATTTAAAAAATTAATAACAAAAATTAAAACTCAAAATAAAATTAATTACATAATTATCAACATCACATGATTTGAAATTTAGGGTTATAATTTTAGGGTAATATATATATACCTTAAATTTTGGTTCACCTTCAAAAATAATTACTTATATACAAATTTTAATTTTATTGTAAAACTTGAATTTTAATCTTTTCTACAGAGGCCTACTATAAATTTAGAGACAAAATATATAATATATAAAAGTTTTTTATTTTTTTTAAAAACATGACTAAATTTTTATCAAAATAACATGTGACCTGTATAAACATTATATATTATTTAAAATAGCTATATAAATAACATGAATTTTTAGAATTGATGAAAACTGTAGGTTATACTTTTTGTCTCAAACTGATTGGTAAGTCACCCTTTTTCGTTTTAAACCAATCGACAATGGGTATGAATAAGAAGCTAACAGCCAACCAAAGAGGTGTCATTATTTATGGTTACCTTAAAAAAGATTCATATCGTCATATTGCCGATCTTATAAATTGTGAAAAAATTATTGTAGGTAATGTTATTAAAAAGTTTTGTGAAATGGAATCTGTGGATTCGCAGATAAAATGTTTTGGGTGTTCGAAATTACTTACCTCTACCGATCGGTCTAACCTCAAGGAACTTGTAACTAATAGAAATCGTTGTCTAAATCTCACTTAAGTCACCAATCTTTTTACTATTAAAAAAAAATTCATGTTTCAAGGAGTACTATTCGTCATGCATTACATGAAGAAGACTTAAAGTCTTGCGTTACATGTTCCAAGCCATTAATCACTCCCAAAAACATAGAAAAAAGACTTGTCTGGTATCATACTTATAAGCATTGAACTGTTCGACACTTTTGGTATGTTTTGTGGTCTGATGAGTATATCTTTCATCTTTTCCAAGGGTCAACTTGTCAAGTATGACGTGAATCGCATGAGAAATGGGATCTTAAATGTCTAAGAAGTACCGTTAATAATAGTTCTGGTTGTATGTATTGGGATTGTTTTTCATGGTATGGATCTGGACCCCTTATCCTATTAAGCTCTTCTGTTACTAGTGTTTCATATGTCAAAATTCTTTGTAAATATACTTTACCCATTATAAATGAATTTCTGGAAAATACAGATCATGGTCGTCTGTTATTGACCTGTGGGTCTGTAGTATAGTGGTTAACACTCCACAGGTCAAATCACAAGATACCAGTTTAACCCCATGTGAGAGCGGTTGAATAGAATTAATATGGTATCTGGTGCCATAACCTGTAAAAAGCGCCATTTCTCATAGAAAAGCCGTGTCACACGCTGATCCAGCGGGCTTTGAGATTGTGATTTCCAGAAAAGGCGTCGTGGCGTGACGATCGTCCGGTTGGTGCTACGATGATCGCTGGAAGTTGTAAGGAGTATGAGGTGTCCGCTTTCGGTAAAGATGGCTTGGTGATCGTTTCCCCGTGGTACCTGGTGTCTCTTCCTACAAAGATAACCAGAAAGGTCCTATTCCAATCCAGTAATAAATCATTCCGACGGTTACTTATCCCGAGAAGGCGGCCCAGCAGTAAGACCGCTAGGTAACCTTGTGGATACCTAAATGGGCAGTAAGACCTGGTGACATAAGTTCCTTGGACGTTCTTGGGTAGCTTGAGGGGGGGTGGAAATTAAATGGAAATCGGTGCGTCCAGCTGCAGGTGGTCGGATCTGGAAGGATTAACTAGGTAGTGTTCTATTCGCCAAATATAGGTACTACCCCCAGTGCCCCAAAAATTCAAATTCCCCTTAATTTCGCACAGTGTCAAATAGAACATCTAGTTTAAATCAATAGGATGTATTGCGGTAATCTTGAGACGGCAATACATTAAGGTAGGCTGCACCCGGATGGTATACCTGTGGGTGAATTCTAATTGTTAAGAGATGTAAGTGTAGACAGAAATGTACTATGTATATTGTTTACAGCACTTATAATAAAATTAGAGTAAAGCTTACTCGCAATACAAAAAAAAAAAAAAAAAAAAAAATGGTTGTCTGTTATTTTAACAGGACAATGCAAAATCACACACTGTCAAGATTACTATACAATTTTTCGAAGACAATAATATTAGGATAATGGATTGGTCTCCTCAGAATCCAGATTTAAGCCCTATAAAAAATCTTTGGCATAAGGTCAAGAATTCCGTCAGTCACAAGGCAAAACCAAATAATCTCGATGAACTCAATGATCTTATTCAGTAAGTATGGTATGAAATACCACCTGAATTATGTCAGTACTTAATTATTAGTATACTGAATTATATCACTGCTTGTATTACAGCTGAAGGGGGGCCTACAAAATATTAAATGTTTTTTTTTTAAAAAAAAAAGACTTAAATATCTTCAGTTTTATAGAAAATATTAGATCAGAATTAATATTATAATAAATTTTAAATGAATAAGTCAAATTATATGAAATTTAAATATGATACATCTTATAATAAACTAAAATTATATTTAAATTTTTAAAATTTATTAATTTATTAAATTTTATATTATTTAAAAAAAAAAAGTGTCCCTAAATTTATGGTAGGCCTCTGTATTAAGAAAGCAACATATTACTTTTATAAATTTTATCTAAAGATTTTAACTTAACTTTTAATAAGCTAAATTATAAAAATCAATATAATTTATAAATAATAATTCTGTAATACAAGAAATAAAATAAAAAAAATCAAGAATACATAAAAGTATATAGCAATGTAAAAAAATTTTTTGTGAATTTTTTATTCTATTGCTTATATTTTAATTTTGGTTTGTGTACAAGTATAAGTCAAGTGGAGATCAACAGAAGGGTGTGACTTGTCACTATTTCTGCAACAATTTACTGTCTCTTACAGTAGTTAATAAAATATTTATTCATCGTATTGTTTATTTAAAGACAAAAATTTATAAGATTAATTAAATACAAATTTCAAATAGTTCATAAATTAAATATGATGTAATCTTTACTAGTTAATTTTTTGACTTATTTTCACATTTTCTTATGTTTTAGAAGGATTTCCTACCAAAAAGCGAATCTTAATGTTCTGTATCCATAACCGAGACACGAAAATAACCTAACTTTACTGCGCTAATAATGCCGCTATGATAAAATACTAAGAATTCAATTAAATGGAATATATATATACAATATATATATATATATTATATTGTCTTTTTACATACAAAATAAAGTATCTAATTAATATTTACAAGGGTATTACTATATGTAGGAATTATATGTGCTAAAATACAAATTAAGAGAATAATGATAACAATAAAACTTGATTGTTATTTTTTGCTTACAGTCCTGACAATAACTATCAATGTACATAATCAATGATTAGCTGGTGGTTAAATGTTTTTTTACTCACCGCTTCCGTGGTAGTGAATAAAGGTTAAATGAATTGTCCGAGTTAATAAGTTTACTAAAGGAAAATATCAGCGCCGTCGAACTCTACTTGTACTTGCAGCCCTCTGAACCCGTGGTTCGAGTTCTAAGGATTTGTTGTACGATTCCTTTAAAATCGAACCGATGAATTGTTAGCATTCAGAAGTGAGGTAATTGAACGCATGAAAAAATTATACGCACATCATCGTTCAATATCAAAGTGTCATTGATGAACTTCTCAATAAATTTGTTGCTCTTCAGAATATAGGGCGACCTTTGATATTTGTAAATCATGTTGATGACATCGCACATTAGCGAAAATTTATTCCAATGTATTTTACCGTCCTTTTGGAAATTTCTGTTTCCTTCGCCTATCGATAACAAATCTTGCAAATGAACACCACTACATTATTAGTAGTAATAATTTGGATTAGCAAATTGTTCTGCCTAAGGTCGGAATATGGATAACACAAAAATCACTCACAGATAAGGTATCGCTTTTTGTTCGTCGCGACTCATCGAAGATTTTAGTGCCAAACGGTAATTACCAAATGACTTGTCGCTAGACATTAGGTTCTCCAGGTTATTAAACTTCTTACACGTAGATCTACCTTTAAGTGAGTCACGTGTTTGACGAAGACGCAGTATTGGTGCGGAATTTATCGCCGCAATGATGGCCATCAATGTGTTGTAATTGTTGGATTCCCGAACAATCTAAAGGAAGTTGAACAATTTTAAATAGGTAGGGAAAACAAAACGAGAGAGACCCGATGGTGTCAAAAACCTACTATTGCAACTTTCATAAACTTCTTCATCATGTTCGCACGATTTTTCAATTTCTCTTGCGATAATATCATCGCAACAACCCTATGGACGTAAGATTCTAATTAGCCTATTGGCACATAAAACGTAATAACACATTGCATCAATAGTTTACCAATTTGATATAAAGTTAAAATGCTGAATGGACTTTGCAACCTTTCCTTTTTCTCGTATTATGTTGTTTTGTGGAGTCCAGATGTGCCTCAACAAATCTCGTCCCTGAAATGATGATAAATCATTAGAACCGTCCACGTACGATAAGCATAGCTCAAACAGTAAAATCAATCTCACTGACCGAGATTTTTTTAAAGAGCTGAAATTCCTGGTATGTCAATTCACTCGCAATCACTTTCTCGGGCAATTCCTCAAATGTCATTTGACTCATTGGTCTTCCTTCAAGACCATTCGAAATGATGATTAAGGATGCTTTACGATGATTTTGTAGGGAAGGACGACTGACGCGAGGCGGTGGAGCAATGTTGTCGAGGATGATTCCCTCTTTATCACCAACCACTATCCAACTGCCGAATCCACTATCTTTCTTTGGATTATGTAATGCTGATATTTTATCGACTATTATCTGTTCCTCTGGAGAATCTAGTTCATCCAATTCCTCATCGTACAAGTCTGAAAGTCCCCATGAAACATCCGGATCCTCACTGGGTATTGTGCCGTTTATTAGAGGAGCAAGGATGATCGCGTAATACGTGAGATGAGAGCAATTACTAATGATATCAAGAAATTGGCGCATCATCTTTCGCGTTTGCGGATGAATGAGATCATGAGGATGTTGAGTGATCCAATGGTACAACAGGTTACATATTCTAAGTATGGATAATTGATTAGATAAAATTGGTCTTAACACAGAACTCTCGAAAGAGTAGGTCGATTTGATGCATAATATCTTACTTCTCGTGGGTCGTATTCCTTTTGTCATCCAGTTCCCCGCAATCACGAAATCTGTGTTCACGTGATCAGATTGATGTGTATATTCGTGTGTAAATGTACTGTGCAGATATTAAGGGCGTACCTTTGCATTAACTTGACGAGAACATCTCGGGGTCTCATGAAGGTCCGATATATTACGTAAAACGATATCATAAACGAATCCTCTGGATTTACGATAGCAAAGGGAAAATGTAAGATTAAGGGCGACATGAATGAATATTGATAGTGAACAAAGATCACCTACCGGATGTGTCATATTGGCCTCCTATCGTCAACCTCTGAATTAATTCATCGATCGTCAGACCTTCATCCTTGTTGCTATCGAGTTTGATCAATTTAATTAACAAAGTATCTAACAAAAGTAGGCACATCGTTGACCATACACACCCTGCACACTTGTTCAATTCTCTCTCGGAAATTAGTTCGTTGACCAACAAATTGTCCCAAGTCGAAGAAATACCGCTTTTCACACTCACGGAACTAATCGTGGAATCATAACTGCAACAAGAAACTCTGTTGTGTCCGGAGCCGATATCTTTTTCTTCTTCTGCCTCTATGACTTGTAAGAGTGTCGACGATGGAAGGAGTGATCGTCGGTGAGGTTTAGGAGCTTGTGAAGACGTCATAGAATTTTTTTGTGACGTTTGCGGAGATGGTGCAACAGCAATTTCCGAGGCATTCGAAGATGAGGAACTTGATGTTATGAGAATAGGAAGTGAAGATTCGTCTTCATTATTTTGTCTGTCCAAAAGAGACTGAGCTGTAACGGTTTGGAATATGAATGATAGATTATTATAAATTTTGTTCTTTGCTTGCAACGAACCAAAATGAATTTTTTACTCTTTCCTACATTTTCTTGATTCTCTCTTCAAAGAACCGAATCGACTGGCGTAATATGAACTCACGTATTTTACCGCTGGTAAATTAACAAGTCGATTTTTTCCCCTCGACTCATTACTTTGGTCACTTGAGGACCTCCGATGATTTAAAATGCGTTTTCCAAGATCTACATCGCTACCAGTGCTTTGTACATGCGCCGAATTGTTAACTGATTTTTTATTCTTTTCTTTCTTCGAGAATTCTAGGCATAGGAAGAATTGGTAAGCAAAGAACCTGGATAACAAGGAGCATGCGATCCACATACCTCGTTGTCGTATCGACAGTCTTAGAAGCATGGAAAATACGTCGTGTATCTTTTGCACACCTTGATCTGTTCTTGTGTCCAACTCAACAAATCCGACATTAAACAGGTCGCCGAGTTTCACGCCGTACTGCGTATCTACTTGACATTTTGCGAGTTCACTATCTGTCTTACATGCCACCAATATCGAAGGGACTTGAAATTCCCTGAATGCATCTGTCAACCAAGATAATTATCACCATCTGCAAAAAACGAAAATATTTGACGAGGAGCACAGAGACTTACTTAACAGCCAAGCAATATTTGCTATTGACGAGCGATTTGTTACGTCATAGCAGACTAAAACTCCGTCAATTTCTCGAAGTTCCTATTTCATAGACAACAATCATCAGAGGCAAGAATGAAGATGATGGAGAATATCAAGATGATAAGATAATCATTTACCCTCGGCCACTTTAAACCGGACTTCATGTTAAAAACATTTTCCTGGATTTCCAAGATTTCTACGGGATATGACTGATCGTCGACGTCAATTTCTGTGATCAGCGTAGGGGCTAAATATGATATTTAACGAGTTAAAATCTTGAAATTTTTCCTACAAAAAAAAAAAAAAAAAATTCTATGCCTCCGACGGATTACCGTGCAACACGTTGACTTCCACTCCGACATTTTTTATTGGTGCCAAGTTACTTAAACCTGTTCGCACTATCGTTGACTTTCCCACGGAGGGTTTTCCGATTAACGCGATGACAAAGGTTTCTTCCTTTGAACGTGATGAATGCTCGCTCGCCGTTGACTAATCGATTGAAAAAAAAAAAATAGGTTTACTGGCCGCAACTGGTGAATGATTCATGTGACCAAATTCAACGGAAATCAAATACCATGTCATGAGTGAACCAATAACTATTACTGAATAAATTTGCGTCGAGGCTTCCATTTCTTTTTCTTATATATGTTGATGGTTGTTTTTGGTGCAGGGAGTCCATGGAAACCGATTTTTTTAGGGTACACCTGTTCTCTTTTTCCTTGGTCCCTTTGATTTTGGAAGAACTTGTTGCATTTCGAAATCGGTTCCACATCCTCGCAATTATGTTTTTTTTTTTTTAAAAAAAAAAAAAAAAAGTACAAAAAAAAATTGGGGGTTTTTCTTTTTTCAACGATAATCGTGTTGGATCGTTGGATGTCGATTATCGAAAACGGTGTTGATATTCGTGTACGCGTGAGTGGACAGTGTAAGCACTATGATATATAGTTATCGGAGACCAAAGTAGATTACCGACAATTTAGCTTTTTGATCGATTTGCCAACGTAGTTAATCAAATGATTGAAAAATATTAAAAAAGTTTTTTTGTTTTTTTTTTTTTTGGGATACAAAAAAGAGACGCGTCGATCGAAGATTTTTATTAGCACAGGTCTGAAGGGAAAACCTTGTACCCAAACTTTTATTCAGTTAAACGAGAACAAACCGAACACTCTAAATGATGACGTAAATTCGAGAAATAATAGTAATAATAGTGATGATGATGGTGATAATAATAGCAAAAAGGAAAAAAGATGGTGAGAATTCTTTTGGTCAATAAAAAGGACTTTGAAGGAAAATGGCGCATTTTTTTTTAAAAATCGATTAAAAAAAAAAAAAAGACACATGATTTAATTAGGATAAATTTAGTATAATGGATGAAGTAAAAATCATTGTCGAATCCACTAGCCAAGTTAATTGTCCCTTCAAAAATTCTCTCAAAAACCATTATTTGCGTTCTTTGTGATGATGATTAAAAATCAAGAGAAATTGTGCTTCGAAATATTGCTCGATTTCTTGAACTTACCTAAAATCGTATCCGACCTTTTGTTCTGTTTTTTTTTTCACCATACAATAGGTATCGCTTGAACTGGATTTCTGGAGGCGGTCGAGCTTTTTTGAGACAACAATAATAACTTACAGAAGAAAAATATGAATATATCAGAAAAGGGAATAACAAAAGATTTTGAGAAAAAAAGGGGCCGAATAATTCCAGAGTGTTTATATAGCACCGGTGATGCAGGCAAATTATGCACAAAATCAGAGCTACTATTGTCCATTGTTTGTTCTTAGCATTATATAATAGGACCGTTCTTATGGTTTTGACTACAATATAAAAAACACTGACACATCATTGTCACCAATTTTCTTAGCCAAATTGAACATCATCCCTGATTTTGTTCAAGCTACGTACATGAAAAAATATGTTGCAATTGGGAATGTACCATCTGACATTTCCTGGTTTAGATAAAATTTCAATATTTCCAAATTGGTCAAATAAAGACTGGGATGCTCATGCTATTCATTTTTTTTTCTTTGAAAAGATGTTATCTCAAATTTTTAAGCGGAATTTGCCTATGACGTAGTAAATTAAAAATTTATTGAATTGAAACTCCGCAGATTCCGAAAATAGTGGTCATGCCGTAAGAAAATAATTAAAAACCCGGAGCGTCCGTTGTTTACTATGTGTTTGCATTGCTCATTCGGCGTTCACTCCGGTATTACTTAAAATACGAGATTAGATTCATCCGTTTCCCGCCTCATACACTTTTTGGACGCACACCCGTCTTCACGTTATAGAACCGAAAAAAAAATGCTATCGCGAAAATTCGTGTCACCTTGGATGTTGTACTAACTTCTATAAATATTTTTAATACTGGTTTGTCATTATTAAGATGTATCATGATGTTACGGAATGGGAACAGCGCGCATCGATCGTTTTCAGGGGTTCTCTTATGTTCCTATGATTGTACCGATTAATTTTATTTGCGATACATTAAGTAGGGGCTAGCTTCGTTTTCATTACTAATTATGAATTCCGCTCATAAACGTGATCAACAGCAATTGTCATTAATCATGATCGCGATAACGATAACTTGAATATCAACACGATAGAATAGAAGTGATTTTGAAATCAAACTACGCACTTTATTTATATTATAAATAATTGTAATTTCGTACATCCGTTAATTACGTTAAAGATATTATTATATTTTGCGTGAAAGACGAATCATTTAGTGCGCACCGATTTTTTCTTTTTTTTTTAAGAAAAAAAAAAAAGACAAATATATATATGTATGTATGTATGTTCAAAGGTAAAGTACAAGCAAAAGAAAGAAACGACAATTAGATGCAGGACGAATTGAATTGAACTGAATGCTTGATAACATATCCCGCGAAAGTTTTTCATAGTGCAAATGGTGGCCAATCAATTCAAACTTTTTGCCGTCGTTATGGTGGGTACTTTCTCCATTCACGCGGACCGTTCTTCAAACCTGAAGCACCGCATCCACGCACTGCCTTTACGGATCTCAGCCAACGTTTCTCCTCGAAATGTTGGATGAGCTCCGAGATGACAACATCATCAACATATACCATTCGATTGTTGCTGAACAGGAGGTAGTTCTTC